GGTCTACTAACAAACCCTACAGGTAGATATTGTGTAGTCGACAATTTCGGTTGGTCTACTAACAAACCCTACAGGTAGATATTGTGTACTGACAATTTCGGTTGGTCTACTAACAAACCCTACAGGTAGATATTGTGTACTGACAATTTCGGTTGGTCTACTAACAAACCCTACAGGTAGATATTGTGTACTGACAATTTCGGTTGGTCTACTAACAAACCCTACAGGTAGATATTGTGTACTCGACAATTTCGGTTGGTCTACTAACAAACCCTACAGGTAGATATTGTGTACTGACAATTTCGGTTGGTCTACTAACAAACCCTACAGGTAGATATTGTGTACTGACAATTTCGGTTGGTCTACTAACAAACCCTACAGGATATTGTAGATATTGTGTACAGGTAGATATTATGACAATTTCGGTTGGTCTACTAACAAACCCTACAGGTAGATATTGTGTACTGACAATTTCGGTTGGTCTACTAACAAACCCTACAGGTAGATATTGTGTACTGACAGTTTCGGTTGGTCTACTAACAAACCCTACAGGTAGATATTGTGTACTGACAGTTTCGGTTGGTCTACTAACAAACCCTACAGGTAGATATTGTGTACTGACAGTTTCGGTTGGTCTACTAACAAACCCTACAGGTAGATATTGTGTACTGACAATTTCGGTTGGTCTACTAACAAACCCTACAGGCAGATATTGTGTACTGACAGTTTCGGTTGGTCTACTAACAAACCCTACAGGTAGATATTGTGTACTGACAGTTTCGGTTGGTCTACTAACAAACCCTACAGGTAGACATTGTGTACTGACAATTTCGGTTGGCCTACTAACAAACCCTACAGGTAGATATTGTGTACTGACAGTTTCGGTTGGTCTACTAACAAACCCTACAGGTAGATATTGTGTACTGACAGTTTCGGTTGGTCTACTAACAAACCCTACAGGTAGATATTGTGTACTGACAGTTTCGGTTGGTCTACTAACAAACCCTACAGGTAGATATTGTGTACTGACAATTTCGGTTGGTCTACTAACAAACCCTACAGGTAGACATTGTGTACTGACAATTTCGGTAGGTCTACTAACAAACCCTTGACAGGTAGATATTGTGTTGTTGACCATCTCGATGATTAGATGAAAAAACTCACAGGTACCGTGTCCTTGACCCCGTGGTATACCTACTAACAACACGAATAATGTACTTTGCCATCTAACGAAGCCATTTTACCACAACTTAATACATTGTATTGACAGCCGTTTATTAATGAGTCTCATGTCTTCTGCTTCCTGTGACCGGTTGTACTGTCTCTGAAATATCGCTCTCCTGACTGTAATTAATGTTTACACACACACGCAAAATCGACCTCAGATGCTGCAAAACAGAAATTAGACTAATCTGAAAATAGAAAGTTCGATTCTCGTTTTTTTTTTTTTTTTTAATTAATTAATGTGCCAGAAAGCAAGTCTTCGTCAACAAGGACACATAATAGAGAGAGATAAGAAATCACCTATAACTATTTTAACGCTATAGCGAATAAGTTTGACTAAACTGGATTTTCCGTGTTTAAATACAGCTTTTCTCCAAAAGTACATAACTAACTTTTTCAAAATAAACAGTAGCAGAAGAGGCTTAATAATTTTCAAATTGATCGTGCTAATTTTGGACACAACAATTATGTCATGGTTGAACTTTTGGTATTTATAAAACAAAATGCATGTTTACGCTATTTACATCTAAATGCAAACAGATAACATAAAAAAACCTAAGTGATTTAATGTCACAATATCTTTCTTATATTGTTTTTGTTACCAAAATTAGATTCACTTATCACTGGCCAAAAAAGATTGGTTCTGGTCATCCGGTCATCATAAAAGTGAATGGGGTTTAGGTGGTTAAGCTTACATGATAATGTTGAGAAGAGGGGACTTTACAGCTCCGTGAACAAACACAAAAACTTAACCCCAGAGGCGTCTCCAGACGGAAATAACTGGAAATAGTAAATCTTATTACGCATGAAAATAAGTCTGTACTCTGGAAAATCAATGTAGGATTTGACGTAGTTATACATTTGTTGATCTGTTGTGATTTTCCCTTCAAAACACACGACTCAATGTGTATAAGGTGTTAAGTAAATAAAGGTATATTTCTGTTATAGGACTAATATTGTATCTGTTTGTCATAGATTCATTTCCAATGCCTATTTCCAGGATTTTAAGTCACTCGGAAGGAAAAACTGGAAGCGAGTAAAAGTTCTTATGCATTGTACTGATTAGTCGCGCGCTGCGTCGTCATGGAAACTGCTGAGACGGACACCTGCAACTAACTTAGTAAAGTCTTTGAAATAAAGACGACCAGTTTGACTGGTTGGTTAGTGGGCAGGCTTACCGTTTCAGCGTCTCCTCCGTGTCCGGGTATCATCTAGGAAGCATTCTAAAAATGAAGATGTTTTGATATCTCGACATAGATTTTTTTGACATGCATTGTCAACTTTGAAATACATATTTATCCTCGATACACCAGGGATTACGGTCACTTTCGCTCTCAGCAGAGTATCGAATATTTGGAATATCAAGTATTAGATGCTCTGAACCAAGTGTTGTTATATTTCGGTTTAAAATCCAATATGGTCGCTGTCTTGAATATTTCAAGTTCCATCAAACCGAGCATTACTACTACTATTACTACTACTATCACTACTACTACTATTACTACTACTACCACCACCACCACTACTACTACCATCATTACTACTACTACTACTACTACTACTACTACTACTACCACTACTACTATTACTACTACTACTACTACTACTACTACTACTACTACTATTACTACTACTACCACTACCACCACTACTACTACCACTACCACCACCACTACTACTACTACTACTACCACTACTACTACTACCACTACTGCTGCGAAATGTTTTGGAAAAGTGGAAGTAAGAGAATACTCGCCCACATCAACACACAGGCACCAGTCACAAATTATTTAACTACGGTTGGTTTGCTATAGTTTGCTGTTTATCCAAAATACTCGTGCTGTTCAACTTTGCTATGATAATGAAGAAATTATATATCTTTTCCAATAATATTTGAACTATTTCTACACAATTCATATAACTTGTCATTCCGTTTTAATTTGGTTTCTTTGTGGGAATATAATCACTCAAGGGATTTTTTTTTCTTCTTCCAAATTACCTGTTTTGTCATGTGCACACACAATGGTTATCTCCCCTCTCATAGTAAACGAACTATCGGGTCGAACTTTCCTACGAGAGAGTTCGTACCTCGGTATAAATCAACATCTTTATAAAAATGAAAGGGGGGTACCTAATGATATGTCTGTTATTTCCCGTTTGCACCCTGTAAAGATATTTCCGTTTTAAGATTTATCCCATTTCCTTCCGTATACCACAATACTACGCCAGTGGGAACTTAACATTACGGGGACTAATCGATTTTCTGTTTACTCTCTCCTGTCGATAAAATCGTTTCCATTTAGATACGGAAATATCGAAGGAACTGATTTATATCACAGCAAACTGTATTTACATCAAAAGATTCTGTTTCAATAGATCTACGTGTATAAAGTAAACAGCCGTTCTGAAGTGACATTTAAAGCGATAAAAATACGGAAAGCGACCGATTTGAGGAAACTTGAAAATCTTTAAAAAAAAAACAACAACAACAACAACATGTACTTTGATTAACCAGAGTCTTGCTGTATAATTTTCTGAATAAATATTTTAGAAATACAGCGAAACCTCGTTATTACAACCACCTTGGACACTGGTCAGGATAGCGAGTACGACTACTTTTGAACCTATTTTTAGTCTGTAAACTAGTATCTTGTTTTTCGTTTTACAGTAATTGTCTCAGAAAAACTACATCGATACTCGGACACGGCTATCTAATCTGACCCAGTGGAATATACACCCGGACACGTAATATACACCCGGACACGTAATATACACCAGGACACGTAATATACACCCGGACACGTAATATACACCAGGACACGTAATATAACTTATGAGTTTGTGATGTGAAACTTTTATATAAAATTTGGTCTTTGGGACTTCTTAAAAATTGCGAAATTGTCATAATAGTGAAGAGGTCTAGATGGTGAACTTTGAACCTTACAATATGCAGGTAAAGAGAGGAAGGATTTTAAGAGACTGAAATGAAGTGGTCTTACAGCGAAGTGGTCTTAATTTTGACCAGACATTGCGATATGCACTGGAATACACACGTACAAAAATAAGTGCATCCTTAATCCGGGATCAGGGAGTTTAGATGTCATCAATATAGTCGTTTCTAGTTTTTCACTCGGTAATCACAAAAGTCGATACTGATGTTAAACAGCTAGAGGTGCGTTTATCTAAAATCTTTCTCTCTCTTTTGTTTATTTTCAAAGATATGTATTATATATCTACCTATGGGCAAATATATCGTAGTTAATATTTCTCCACACTTCCTCGATTGCTGTCGAAAAAGAATCATCCTGTCGAGAACTCAAGAAATATCTGAATCCGTGTTTTACAAGGAAAATACCCGAACACCATGCAAGGTATGTCTAAAATGGAGAACGTGAGTGCTCTCCTTCCTGACTTGAGAATTCCGTCACACATAAGGACACTCGGTGTACATGCCTTCGTGGTAGGAGATTAAAATCAATGTTGTCAGTCACAGCAGCCGTTGAAGTGACCACGCCCACCTCCTACTACATCAGCTGATCATAGTAATGCGCGTAGTGTATTCATGAATGAACCATCATAGCACACGCTGTCTAATTATATTCATCGTGACGTATTTCCGGTTTTCACCTTAGAGCGAATCAAGTTAAGGCTCAAGTCGATATAGTACAAGCGTACATGTAGTATACACATACAAGTTTACTGTTAAAGAGGTCTCTGGCTGAAAACAGCAAGTTATGATATAAGTTATTGGAAGTAATCTTCGTCTTTTCACAAGTATGGAATCCGAAGTGATTGTTTTGATTTTGTTCCTGGGAGTTTTAAACTTTTCGCTGTCGATGGACCAGGCAGAACAGCACATGAAAGGTAAGGCTTGTTTATATATGTTACGAGGTCCTATCTGGTCGCGGGACCGATATAGTTTACTCACAGAACTTTGAATTTCTTATTGAAGGAATTTTATCAACCCAATATTGTTGGTGTGTTTTACTCTAGTTTAGTTACATTCTACCTCACAAATAAAGGTGATAATTCGTCGTTGTTTATAAAATAGCATGTGCGAGTTCGCCAGGTGATACATTTTTACCTGGGCAAGAAGACAAGCCAGTGATCACCCTTCCGGCTCGGGAGTTGTTCACTGCGCGCGTCAGTTGTTTTGGACTTGACTTAAATCATGTGTATTCAGAAGTATTGAGTAATGACACAATCTTATATAATAAAACATTGCCACGATTGAAATAACGTTGGTTCTGTTCCAGTAATGTTTGAAACAACAGGTGGTCGTTCGACGTAATTTCAAGCTTTAAGTTAAAATGATACTAACCAGTCCAGTGTATTTGTAGCAACGATATCAGAGTGGTAGGGTTTAAACAAACAAATGTATTCTGTATATTTGTTCATACATTTGAAAAGATTTAGACACCAATTAAATATGTTTGAATATGAGCACACCTGAGCCGAAAAGTGTTGTATCATATAGGTGTTTGTTGAAAGCGTATATTTATAAAGTTAGTTTTTAAATTTTGAATTATTAATTAGCAAATTGATCTGTTGATTTAGGTATGTATATGTATTTAGTTAGAAATCTGTCAATGACAAATCTATTTAACTGGCAGGTGTGTTAATGAACTGGTTAATGACATGTAAATTTCAAAGGAGTGTCTCATATTTTTCATTTGTTTCACCAGTTATATAGTGTATAGCATATCAGAAACTCCTAATTAGTAAATTAATAAACACCTGCATATTTTCTGAACAGTGTATTTGTTAGGCTTAAGTACAGAATTACACCTGTAGCCTGATAAATATCTTGTACTAATGCATCATTTAATACCTGTGATATTTAATTACAGGTAAATAATTATCATTATATAAACATTTAGTAATGATTAATCAGATTCAAACTTAACATTTCACATGTACAACGAAAACACATGAATGAATGTGTTTTGAATTAAACATAGACATAGCTGCATATTGGAGAAATTTTACTGGTAAAGTGGGCTCATATCTTTTACATGAAGTGGATATCTGTTACAAAAAATCTAAATGTCTGTTGAGGAATTTTAGACAACCTGGTATCAGACTTCTAGTATTGGCTCAAGTTAGTAATTTGAAGTAAAAATCCATATGGCTTGTACAAGTATGTTTACTAAAATAGATTTTCTGGGTGTTACGAGTTTGGCTGGGTAAAGCATAGCAGGGAAATATGCAAGTTCACAGGCACAAAGTGTTATATAGCAAAAATAACAGATATTTTCGAAACTGTTTCATCAAATGATAACATAAAAAAAATTAGCAGTTTTCTGTGGACTTGTACATAGTATATATACACATGTATATCTGGTACATGTATTGTAGTGAGACGGCTGGGATATCAAAGTAAGTAAATATAGGTCTCGTCCACCAGCCAAAGTCATAATGAAAAGAGGGCCATAATGGGCTGTTGTAAATATTTTCACTAAGCTCTGTTCCAATGTTGTGAAATTTAATACGGCTACATAATTTAGGCTGCAGGTTTGTGTGTTATTTGCTAGTCAACACACAACTTAGATCTATAAACAACCAGATCAGGAATGGTTAGAGCCTTTTTATTGCCTAAATTCCGAGATTAATTTGTAAGTAGAGAAAAAAAAGGTTAAGACTTTGGCACAAGTAAAAGTGATTAGACCTAGAATTAGAAATGTTTTTCATTTGTTGTTAGAAATGGACGTCAGAAATGGACAACTGTAGGAAATTGAAAACGTCTGTAACAGAGGACATCTGTTTGTGACAGATGTTTATAACATTATGGGGTTTTACTAAATGAACTTTAGTACTATAAATCTCATCTAGTTAAACATTGAAGTACAGTATTTAGAACTGAAAACAAGGAAAACCAATTTTCACAGATATGATATGAATACATTGATATAGCATCAAAAATAATTCAAATTAATTAAAAATATTAATTTTTTCATGTTAAAAAAAATTTGACAAACATGTTTTTGAGGATTAACAGTGTTGTTTCAGTCAAAATTTACTACCAGAGGAAAATACATGACATAAACTTGGACATTAATTATTCTTTTGTAGGTCCATGATCCTTGAAAATGAATGTTGAGGATGCTATTTTTCACTTTCAATGTTAACAAACGCACTGACACTGATCAATATGTCAGATTTTTTAATTTTTTTTTTTTTGAAAGCTGTTAGGGATAGTATTTGTGTACAACATTAAACTGACGTTATTGAGACAACACATGTTACTTCCATCCTCAAGTGTATATGCAGGTATCACATTCATATGAGATTTGTGTACATATCTCTTTTAACGAGAATGACTAAGAGAATGCATTATTGATTACTGGGTATTTAATTAATACTAATTTGATAAAACATGACATTTTACTGACACAAATATGTAGATGTTTGGTCCAAACCTTTCATTACTGAAAGAAAAGCTCTCTATTAAATTTCTCTTCACATGCAATATACGAGGGATGTGATCGTTTTAAACATGATGAAAGTGTTTTATAGTTGGTAGTGGCGTTATCATTATTGATCTGGCTGACAACAAACATTTAACTGATTATATCCGACAATGCTTTGTTCGATAGCTTTCCTAAATTTGACGAACATTCATCTGTTAATCTTTTTTATAACTTTAGATTTCTGCCTCAATATCGTTGAATATGGCTATATAGAATAGTACAAATTATTCTAAGCGATATTTTATTTCAACTTCATGTGCGGGGAGCTTATGTTAGAAGTTGCGTAGATGTGCCTTAGTTTTGACTGAATTTAAACATTTACACAATGTCTTCTAGTGCAGTTAATCAGCGATAAAGAATTTCGATTCAAAGGTGATAACATATGCATAACCATTTACAATGTGTAGGTGTATAATTTTTGTGACAAGAAACAGAAAAACAGAAAAAGAATCTTTACCTAACATGGACATGTTGAACAGATAAATATTTTTAGTTGTAAGTTTGTTTAACTACGTATTAATCTCGTGGATGACGGAAGTTTTTGAATGGAGCTGAAATAGGATATATATGCAGGAATGTAAAATATATACACTGATTTAAGACAACACTTTAAGAGTTCTTTAGCTACCACATATCTACATTGTATATGTACAACTGAAGGGATGGTCAGCTTATCATGACATAAACAGACCACAGAACTTTGATGGTTGAGTTTCATTTTACACTAAAATTTCCAAAAGATATATGCAAGGTTGAAAACATCATATCTGAGTTATTGTCATAATGACTTGTCAAAAAAAAAAAAATGAATACTTTTTCTCTCTTTGTATTTTCATAACACAATATCAAACTCGTCTTCATATTTATATAGGGTCCAAGTTGTGTCTGAAAATCTGTGATTGATATTTGTCCACATTTTCCTTGCTAAAGGTTGTGATAATTTATAAATGTGATTAGGAATGGCCTCGATAATTAGAGTAACGATGTTGTCGGAGTGTTGAAGACTCAATGAGCTGACCTTACGGAAATAGCAGACTAGTAAATGGATCCGAAAATATGAAATATCCAGCTTAATCAAATTCATATTGCAATTTGTATAAGATGCTGGAGAACTGAAGGTCAATTACTAGAAATTGAATTTATCGCAGAACGAATGAGTCAAGTGCCTTATAGACGACTTAAAGGCTAGTACAGCTGTAGGTCTTTTCAAGGCCTGAGAGAATTTTGATAATGGAAAAATAATTGTTTGCCGAAGAAATGCAAAAAATAATTGTTACTGGCTTGTCTGGGTATTATTTTTGTCACCTTTTTCGATTACTTAAATATGTAAGATTTTGTTAACCGTATCGACATCAGCTCTGTCGACAGATATTGATTATCTCTAAAATGGTTCATTTTTCTATGAAATGAAGGATTATTTTTTAAGTTGCACTACAAAAATTATCCAGTTATGCTAGATGAGTCCAGATTTTTTATAAGTATGGTGATTTAAGCAACTGTGTTGGACCAGAGAATTGTGGCTATATATTTCAGAAACTTGGGACACATACAATTTCACCCACAAAATATTGGACAGAAAAGATAATGTGATTCCTTTTTCTATGAAAAAGCTGCAGATGACAGTCCGTCCCAGAACAATAGACAACTGAATTTAGATCTACGCCAACAAAAAAAATCTATACTTTCCTGGAATGAGCTCTCTATGATAGGTAGTGTAACCTGTTCTGTTGTATTGGGTTGCTTCTGCCAATGTGGGCTGAGGGCTCTGTATATAAGGTTTCATTGACAAGTAATAGATCTAGGTTCATTGAGTAATGAATGCATATATTAAGCTAGCTCAGTGAGATATGTTAAGATAATGGTTTTCAATGAAGCTCATTTATTAAGAAATAAAAGTGATGTGATGCGGGATTCATTGGGAAATAATTACATGTAGTGTTCATCAGGTAGGTAGTGTGGCATTCATTAGTTAATAAATGGTAGATGATGGGGTTAATTGAGTTATCAACACATATCGTGAATGGATTATTTGGAAGTATAACAAGAGGTTTATGGAGAAATATATCATTTATTGCGTTAAAAGTTTGGGGAAGGTGGAGGGTGGGGAGGTGAGTGGTAAATGATAACATCATTATTATATAAAAGAGGAAATTTCGTAATCAGTCAGGGTTGATATAAGTGAAAAATGATTTTTCGTTGGTTGAAATCAGGTCGAAACAGCAGCCCCAGTAAGTGATGCTAATTCTTACAAGAATAATACAGGAGAAAATAAGTTTTCTTTTTCAGTGCTATTCCATTTAAATAAATTGCACTTAACATTAATATCTCCAGCCAAAAGGAAAGAACACTGTTAAAAATGAATAAATGGCACACATTTAAAGGATATTTTGTTCC